ATGGTGCTCCTTCATTGACTGCGACGAGCCTTGGGAGAGAGGCGTGACATTTCGGCCGCTGGAGGGAAATTTCGTGTACTGGGAAAACCTTCACGTCGATGGTTCTGGAGATCAACGTAACTTACATGCTGGATTGCCGGTCACAGGTGGACAAAAGGTTGGGATGAACATCTGGACAAGACAAGCACCGCTGAGCAAGGATATTCGAGGAGATGAGTAAGACTCTGGGGCATTCAAAGTTGGTTTACAGAGGGTATTAAGGGCTTGTTAGGACGAGCATAAGGGGCAGACACCAAGGAACCTTAACACACTTTTCCGTCTCTTCTGCGGAGCAAACATTATCATGCTACTCCTTCCGACGCAATTGAAAGGTATAAAATTGCTCATTTAATGGTCATGAATCCATGAACCTAAGTTCAGGTTCACACTTTTACGATGGCTTGCGGTTCGAGATGAGTCAGGGAATTTCCACCTCACACATGAAGACTATCTAGTTTAAATACTTATGTGGAAAGTATTCCCAGTTGCCTTCAAAATGATCCTATGTGGCAGCTTATGAGTGCTGGTGAGATGCATGGATATGGGTAGCACTGTACTAGGCAAAGAGGAGAGATAGTGTATATGGTGACTATACTCGGTTAACATGGTTATAAGCCTCACTTCAATGATCAACTAGCGACTCCGTAGGTCTCCGTTGACATTGCAGATAATCTCAACGGTGAGTTAGAGGCATATTGAACCAAGCTGATTTCAAATAGAACCACACGCCAAGTTACTATGTATTCTACATGTGACCCAGCCTTTGACCTTACCTACACATGGCAATACTAAGGATCAAAACCCTCACGCGTATGATTACTTGTGTGAGAAAGCCGGCTATACCATTAAATGGCCTGTCTGGCCATCTTTGGAGATGGGTGTTAATATTGACTAAAACTCATGAATAATGGTTTAGGAAACTCCTCTACTTTTTAGCCTATGTATCTGAACATGTAACAAGCCTGAGGATACGTAAGTCGGAGGGACGAGCTTTATGCGGATCCCGCTGAGGTGATCTGGTAGCTGATGAGCCTTTGCAAATGGCACGGAAGTGGGTGGTCTTTAGATTCCAAGGTCGAACGTTACCTGACTGATCCTGTCGCAAGCTACCCCTTGACCTTCAGCCTACTTAACTGCAGATGTGATGAACTAGGAACAAACTCAACTTGATGTTCTGCCTTTAGCTATTTTGCTTCCCACGAAAGGTGAGAAGAGGCGTCTTCCTAATCTCTTATTGAAAGCAGGACCTCGAAGATAGCTGCCCAACCACTAGACAAGTTGATGACTTGATATGAGAAAGAGGCAAATATGATGCGTATTTCTTGACTGTCCTAGTAATGGGGTATTCTGGTTGCATTTGTAGCTTACCCAGTGGGCAAGCCGAGTCAATCTCAAGTAGCAAAAGGATCTCATTCGTGCCGCAATAAGAGACTGTCTTTGACTAGTACCTCGTTTGGTTGGTCGCTTCGCTGACAATAGGTTTGATATTTCGGTATCTAGAAGCCTCCGTTGGCAACTTTGAACTCAGAAACCTGCTGTTAGCTTCTATTTTCTCTTTCTATTTGGCCACAGACGATAGACTCTACATAGAACAGCCTTCTCGGCTTTGCTTTGGAGCCTGCTTTGGAGCTCGAGTAAAGAAAATAAGGCATATCCTGCGCTTGTCAGATGGAACGCAAGATTCTTTCATGATAAAATTCACAGGGTAAACCCATGGTAAGGCTGCTTAGCCAACATGGGAATACCCAAGTGCCTGCCTCTGTTATATGTTGCAATGTTCCTCGAAGGCTACGCTAACACATCCGTAGCTTATCGACCATAAGTCCCTGTAGCAAGTACATGTGGTTATCAGTAAATGATAGTCATGAAATTCGTTGCTGAGCTTGGTATGAACTGTTTTGAACCAAGTAATGGCCAATGGAGAACGCAATGGGGAAGAGTCAGAGTTCTTTCAACGCCCAGAAGAGTGAAAATTCAATGAAAAGTGCAGCGCTCGTTGTTAGCATAGTTGAATATATGAATTGTGTAGTGAGTACGGTAGCCTTGAGTTGTGAGTGAATGCAAGGCCAGCGGTTAGAGTTCCTTTTCACACGATTTCGCTGATAACAATAGTCCTGGTGACGGGGTGATGCAACTCTTAGAAGGAAGGCTAGGATCCTGATGCCGAGCCGCCGAGCCACCAGCCTGATCTGAGAGGCGACAGGTCGAGCCCACCTTTTGTCAAACTTTCTTCTTCTTCTTCTCATCTTTCCCTAAGTTCATTGAAATTCTCTCTGATCTTCTCTCATCTTGATAGCAGTGCACATTGCGTGAATGAGTGCGTCAAGGAAGAGGAAGTCAAATAGAGTGAAGGGCCGGTTGGTATTTCGGCTTTCATGGGTGGTAATAGAATGTATTGGCATGAAGCACAGCGGCGGGGCAGACGAAAGTGGAGATACGGCGAGGATCCAGGTTAGGCTGATGGAGCGGCCGCGGGATCCGATTTAGCTCTATACACTACATATGGGAATAGTGTGAGGAGCTCCTGTGTGCCAGTGTGGACGGAGTGAGGAGGCGGGCTATTCTTCCAAGAGCTAACGAAGCCGGTTCAGGGCAAACTCTTCAGGATGTTCAGCAGTAGGTTTCCTTGCCGAGTGGGTCAGTGTCAGCGAGAGTGTCAACGAGAGTGTCAGTGAGCTTGACTGCTGGCGTGGCTGATGAGATAGCATCACAACTTCCACATGGTTGGGATATGTCCAGAAATAGGGACGGTTGGTGCCCTGTCTGAGCCTCTGAGGTAAGTTTAGTGACATGGACGCTTTGTGGGTAGGGCAGCACAGCAGTCAACACTGTAGTACCTTAGCATAGGTAGGTGAGGGCCGCCGCTGAGTAAAGCGCCTTCGTCTTGCCATCATACTTAATACCTCATTCCCTGTTCCGATCGGCTTCTTCTATGTTCCGTTGTTGAGCGAGTCGTTTATTACTTGAACCTAAAAGAAGTTGCGAACTTGCGATAGACCGGTGGAGTGGTATGGAGATGCGAGAGCTTGGAGGAAGTGCTTAGGTGGGCCGCTGGTCATAAAGCTTGACTTGACTCGAGAAACAGTGACGGCATATCTGAGCATGTAGCGAGACCTGAGTGTCGAGGTCCTTTGTTCGGCCCGCCCTGGTGGTGTTGAACTCTTTGTCCGGATGCATGAGCCAAGGCCGTGCGGATACCTAAGGTAGGCATACGCGGGTCTGCCATACTGGACACTTCAGGGCACGACTTACCTAGTACGAGTCTACCTAAGCATCCAAGGTACCCAAGCGCCCGTCTGTAGATCCGTGATCCCCTTGGGCGGCACGGCGGGTGGATAGTTATAGTGAAGCTCGTGTTGACGGATGGAGTGGTACAGTGGCTTGAATTTAGGCCGGAAAATGCAGAGTTAGTGTCTGCCAGAGTCTCGGACGGCCGGGTGACGGCCGTGACTAGGAGAACGTGGAAACAGAACAGCAGACAAAGAGAAGCCGTTTGATGTTTCGGCGCGTTTTGGAGGGACGGCGGACCTTGAAGAGCACCAGCAAGCAGACAGAGAACGAACGCTACAAGCGGCCACGGTTTTGTCCGTATGACATGGCATGATGGCAGGCCACAGACCACACACGGATAGATGAAGATGAAAGGTGGTCTGTACCTGATACTGTGCAAGTTCTTTTCAAGTGACAGTGGATGTGAGCATCCTGGCCGGTCTGTAATACATAATTAGGTGCCTGAAGGTCACATTTGACTGGATGCTTCATTTGAGATGGTGGTGTTATGCAGACTCGGAGTGGTAGTACGTACAGGTAGGTATTCGGAATAGTTCGTATTGACAGATTGCACACCCCTTTTTATGCTCATGATCCGCTGGTGTGCATCTCGGTTATGCTTGCCGTTATTCCCTTTTGGGATTGTCTCTCTTTTCCGATCCACAGCAGTGCAGCATGCCTTCTTCTTCTTCTTCTTCTTCTTCTTTTCCCCTTGCTTGCTGCTTGCTGTGCTTGCATTCATCTCGTCATCTTTTAGGAGATGCCTGCCCCCCCGACCGTAAGCGACAGCCGCCTAGGCCGTCATGGACCAACCAAAATGTGTTTTCCAAGCACAAGCATCGCCACCCCTGCGTAGGATCCTGCCGTCTTTTGAGATTCCACTGCAATGAGGTGGGAAAGGAAGGAGCCTGGCGTGGCAGCGAGGAAAGCGCAGGCGAGTCTGGCAAACGGCAGGCTGTTTCTGCTAAGGTGAGAACATAGGGTAGGTACTCCGTACCGTGGACGAGAATGACGTGAGATTGTCTCTTTTTACCTCAAGGTACCTTACCTTACCTACGGTGTGAAAGAAGAACGTAAAACGGAAGGGAGAGAGAAATGGAAGCCAGGAAGGAACTTGAAAAAGTCGCCGGTCGGAGCCTGGAGGTGCGGGCCACGGCACAGGATACGTACCTGCCCTGGGGCGATATCGTACCTTAGGTACGTACTCCGTACTCACAGAAAATGGGAAAATGGAAGGTACCCTGGTCGGTCTCCATTGCCCAACGCGATCAAGGTTCATTTCATCCTGAAAGCCAAGCCAAAAGAAACCCACAAAATGTTAAGAACAAAGTTCGTCCACCTCCTCAACCTCGAACAAGACAGTGGGGGCAAGTCCTGCATCTCGAACTTGACTGCGACGATACTCTATTACTCGAGATCCCGACTCCCTTTCTCCCAACTCTTCCCAGAAGACGAGGACATCTGTCAGTTGCTTGGTCGCTCTGGCGGCGCTGTATCTTAGCTTGCACGCCACCGTCATGAGGTGCATGTCAAACGTCGGCCCTAAATCGTATCGATTAACAAGGCGGTAGGTACGGACACACCAAGTATCCGTACAAAGGTACCCGGGTTCAAGGCAAAGCTAAAATGGTTGCAAGGACGGACGGACCGTTTTGGCCCTCTGGCACCAAGGTACCTGGGAGTCCAAGGTGCGAAGGCAGACGGACCTTACTCCTGAGTCCTGCGAACAATATCCGCGCTGCAACGTCCCTTCACCCTTTCTTTGCCTTTGGACACGACAATCTTTTGATGCTGCAAAACAGGTGGTGCTTGGCGCTTGGCTCCCCACGCCATCCATCCATCTCAACCCCATTCCGGTCCAGCGCGTCCTGCCCCTCGGGTCCCTTTGCCATCGTCTTTTGCGCACTCTAAAACTTGGACGCATGCTGCTTCACCTCATCTTGCTAGGACACTGCTTGCCCAAGGCACTCGCCCAGCCTCATGTCTCTCGCTTTTCTCGCTTTCCCGCTTCAACTACCTCCTTACACACTCGGCACTGTACCTGTTTTCCTCTAGAGTATTCGTACCTAGGCAGTCCAGATATTGCCTTACTCGAGTCGCTACATACTGCCTTGGGTAGGTATCTGTACCTCCTTGGCTTACCTTGTCAGTAACCTTTCCATCAAACTAGGCAGGGGTCCAACTCTTCTTTTCTGCGACGGCCCGCCCTCCACCAGCAAGACTGAGGTGCACTTAGCTCCAGCCTTTTCTCCTTTCGCCTCTGCTTCCAAGTTCCAACCAGACAACAGGCTTCGTTGCTTCGCACCTCATAACCCTCTTGCCATCGGTGCACAGTGGCTGAGATATTCCGACCCAGGATATCCTTCCTCTCCGCCCCTTCCTTCTCTTCCATCATTCGTCCACTCTTTTGGCTGCCGTGCCTAATTCTATTCTCGCTATTCTCGACCTTTTTGGAACTTTCTTCCCTGCCACTTCTTACTCAGTTCTTCTGGCGACACGACCACGCGCAAACCGCCAGTCTACCTTATTCCATCTCTACCGAATTCTGTATACTATTCCTCAAAACGAAAACCCAGCTAGCCAGCTACTGGCTACAACTTTCTTCCACATTCTTTGGTGTCCGGCGACAAACTTCGTTGCCGTCGCCGCTGTCGGCGCCCTTTGACCTCAATAAACGACGTGTGCTATCATGGGATTGAGCCAAAGACGGAATGACGTTTGTATAAACCCCATTGTCGCCATCAACATGTTATCTCGTCGCGCCCTCACCGTCCTCGCCCTCGTCTCCGTCACCGCAGTCATCTTTCTCATCTCTTCGAGGAGACTCGGCGGCGACTGGGCGATAGAAGGCCCCAACTACCACCCCTTCAAAGGCCACAGCCCACCTCCGCCTGCTGGCAGCTCCCCAAGCGCAGGTCACGATGGCCGTCCTCCGCCTCCTCCGCCACCCCCGAGCTACCAAGACGACCGCCTCGCACAGCACAATGTGTCGAACCAAGACATTCCCTACCGTCCTCACGACCCCGTCTGCGATACCTTCCCCGACACGAGCAATATTCTCGTCATCATGAAGACGGGCGCGACCGAGTCCTTCGACAAGGTTCCCACTCAACTCATGACCATGCTCAAGTGCTTGCCCGAATATTTCATCTTCTCCGACCTCGACCAGACCGTTGCAAACTACCACATTCGGGACAGTCTTGACAAGGTTCTTCCCGAGGCCATGGATGGTAACCAGGACTTTGATCTCTACCGTCGCCAAAAGGCCTGTCAGGCCGATCAGCAGAGCTGCAACAAGCTGGCTGTAAGCAAGGATGAGGGTTGGAATCTCGACAAGTACAAAAATGTCCACATCGCCGAGAAGACGTACCGTATGCGCCCCAATTACGATTGGTATATCTATATCGACGCCGATACCTACGTGCTCTGGCCCACGCTCGTCCAGTGGCTCAAGAACCTCAACCCCAAGAATAAGCACTATCTCGGCAGTGTCACCATGATTCGCAACTTCGTTTTTGGCCATGGCGGCAGTGGCTACATCGTCTCTCAGGCGGCTATGCACGACATGATTGCGGACCATGAGAATGTTGGCAATAAGTGGGATGTTCGTGCGAGCAAAGAATGCTGCGGAGACTACATCTTTGCGCTAGCTATGAAGGACAATGCCGATGTCAATGTCCATAATGTGGTGAGTATCCATCATGACCTCTTTGTTCTATACGCAGCTTGGACTGACCGTTCCCCAGTGGCCTACGATCAACGGCGAAAAGCCCTTTACTCTGCCGTATGGACCTACTCACTGGTGCCACCCCATCGTGACAATGCATCACATGAATGCCGAGGAGATCTCCACTTTCTGGGAATACGAGCACAAGCGCTACTCCGACCCTAGCCTTCCCCAGCCGCCTCCAGTCATGCGTATCAAGGATATCTATCACGAATTCTTTGCGCCTCGTATGCAGCCTGAGCGCGCCGATTGGGACAACCTGGCCGATGACCGATTTTTCCTCGACGAATCCGCCAACAAGCACCAGGATTGGCAACTCAATCGAGCCAAGAAGGAAGACTTGACAGAGGAGGAAAAGGTTGCACACTTGTCCTTTGGCAACTGCCGCAAGGCCTGCGAGGCCGATAGGTCCTGCTTCTCATTCCAGTACAAGGACGGCGTCTGCGGCTTCAGTTGGGCATGGAAGCTTGGACACCCGGTCAAGCGCGAGTCTACCGACGAGAAGCGCACCATGTCCGGCTGGGCTGTAGAGAAGATCAACGCCTGGATTGAGCAGCAGGGCGAGTGTGGCCCAGTCAAGTGGCCCGATGTCTGAGGTGAACATGCATCAGTCACCACCGACTTAAGTGTCGACACGAGACATTCACGTCGACACGAAAGAGCAGCGCCAAAGGCCCGCCTCAATGCAAGCACGGCTGCCATCCAAGGCTTTGAGACGTGACGTATGTTTCACGTGGGGCCTTAACCCATGTCTTAGTACGCCAAGGACTTGGATACGGGATTCATGAACATGGTGGGGAAAATACCCCCCTTCTCTGGAATTCCCTTGACTCGGATTTTCTCGTCAGGGAGGAAACAAAACGCTTCTCATGGAAGCCAAATCTGCCAGGCGTTTATCGGTCTGGCGTCTGTATAGAACCGCAGGCATGTGTGTATTCCTTTTCTTCTTGTAGTGTGTGTATATCACCATCATGACGTGACAGGCGAGGCAAGACTTGGGTTTCGAGACGACTTTGGCGTTTTATTTGGAAAAGACGACTACTGCTTCAATGGTCCTGGTTTGGAAGGCCGACGGAGTCAAACGGTCAGAGCGAGCACTCGCAATAGAAAGCCTTTCATTGTTCATATTACAGTACATATCCAGATTCCGATTCAGACATTGTCATTCAGCACCCCTATGTGCCTAGTCAGCCCTGTTCCGACCTCTCCGAGATGAACTTATGTCGAAAACTGAAGGGATGGTAGTGAAGAAATGGGGCCCGGAAGCCGACGAGGTGTCAGGCCTGTTGCTTTCAAACACCCCAAACTCATAGGTCGGCTCGCGCCTTTTACTGATATGCCACAGCTAGCTATTTAAAGACAGGTGGGTAGGGCAGACAATCGGCAGCGGGTGGCTGAAGATGGCCAGACATTGCATGCCTTGACGAGCTTCCTAGGAGCCACACCGACAAATCGCGGTTCATCCCGGCATTTTGCATGAGGTACCGGTATTGTCACTGGTACAGTGTATACATTCCAACATTAGGTAGCATCACAGCTCAAGTGGGGGCTGGGTATTGCCGCTTGACCCAGGTCGAGTGGAAGACGGCAGTTCGGCATATCATGCAAAAGACATATCGAGAGGACTGTAAATGATCATAACGTCGTAAATTATCCACCCATGCTCCGTACGCTACCCTCCTCTGCACTTCGACTTGTTCATTTGCTCATCAACTCTGCTCCGCTCCTGATGACGCCCACCACAGCTCCCGTCTGCACTGTCTCGCTGCCGCCGCCGGCCACGCGGTGTTCGATATCCGCCAGCCCATCGAGCCACTTGATCATGATTTCCGGCTTGACATCGAGTGTCGCCAGTTGCTCCGCCAGAGCCGTGATGATGTCTGCGAGGGCGAGACCCCGTGATACCTTTAGGGTGTTGATAGTAGTCAGGCAAGATGTCACGTCTGTTGTGCTCAACAAGACATCCAAGATCTCCTGCACAGCGTCGGGCTGAGGAGCGGCGATGCAGTTATATATCGTCTCTGTAGTGATGGTTTCCCTCACAATGTCGGCCTCGGCCACCTTGGGTGCGTCCTTGGGTTGCAACGGGGTACCTGTGTTGTTAGCATGCTCTCAAGGGCCATTGTGCAGAACCGGATGAGTACTTACTTGATGCGTGACAAGCCTGGAGCACATTGAGTGCTCTTCTCATGTCACCCTTGCTAAGCTTCACCAATGCTTCCGTGGCATCGGGAATGATTTTGACGTGCTCCTCTTCAATCACCTTATCCACCAAGACCCTGATATCGCGCTCCTTCAAGGGACTGAATCGGAACCTCGTGCATCTGGATAGCAGTGCCGGTGAAAGCTTGTGCGAGTAGTTTGCGATGATGCAGAAGCGCGTGTTGACAGTGTACTTCTCCATGATGCGGCGCAACGCCATCTGCGCCGTGTTCGTCATAGCATCGGCCTCGTCGAGGATGATGAGCTTGTATGATGCCATGCTGCCACCACTGCCTGATTTAGCTGAGGGACCGAGAGTGAATATTTGTTTTGTCGAGGCAAAGGTCTTAATCTGCTCGCGAACGACGTCGATGCCGCGATCATCTGAAGCGTTGAGCTCGAGAACCATCTGGCGCATGTTCTCGACGCCATAAATGCGGCGCGCGAGAGCGAGGATTGTCGAGGTCTTGCCAGTTCCCGGGGGCCCGTAGAGGAGGAGGTGAGGGAGACGATTCGAGTCGACAAACTTATTGATGGTGGCGAGAATATCCTGGTGTCCGGACACATCGTTAAGGCTTACTGGGCGGTACTTTTCAACCCATGGCAGACTGTCTTCGGCTTCGACGGGGAGGTTGGCGGCGCTGCGCTTGCCCTGCTTGGCGTCTGAGGAGAAGGTGATGTCCTTGGACACGGGGACGTCGACGTCCATCTCGTCTTCAAAGTCGGACATATTGACTGTGGTGCGGAGAGGGTCGATTGGATGAATTGCGGAGGGGACGATGAGGTGGTGAACTATGAGCTCCAACGTACGAATAAGGCATCCCCGTGCAGGGGGTTATTGGAAATCTTGACGTGATGCATCCGCTTGGAAGACGCGTCGCAAACGCGTCGAAGAATGGTTCTTCACGTGGCCACTTAAGCTTTGGCGGAGGGAGCCCCACGTTCGATGGGGGGAGAACCTGAGGCGGTCAGTGTCATCAGCCCCACTATCCCTCCGGCCAGCGATGTTCCATTACATAAGCGAAACTAAGTACCCCTCCATCAAACTGGGAGTTTTGGACTCAGGTCCCAAATCACACAATAGCCACAGTTCCATCCATGGTCCAATATTGTACCTACCACTACCTTGGGATCTGGCCAAGTATTTCTTCGGGCCTCGCCCTGCGTCAGTCAGCCTGCGAGCCTGCTGATTTCTGCCTCAAAATGTCTTAGCAAGTGCTGTGGTATCGTACAAACCGGTGGCCATGTCACAAACATGTCAAGTCTGTATGGCTACTGTCAGACTTTAGCTTCGCTCTTGCCATTGGACAAGAACAAGAATTGCTGTTTGTCCCTCGATTTTCACGTTCCATCTCAGACAAACACCCTTGATCATGTTTGGGCTGTCCAAGTAAGTAACCTTTCTTGCTTATGGATACGTTTCGGGGAGACGTCTCCGCTCTCCGCGCACACAAGCTAGTCTTGAGGTGAAGCATTACCTTACGGAAAACCCGTTCGCTATCGAGTCAAGGATTCCTGGCGGAACGCCATCTGGGGATTTTGAAGTTGGGATGCGTTTGGCACCCCACTGTTCACGTCGTATTAGTTGGCTTCGGCCTCAGAGTCATGCCATGTCTTGGCCATAGCTGCCAGCCTTGAAATACTGGGCTAATTCCTGGTTCTCCTTCACTTTCGAGGTCACCTTCGTCTCATTTCTCCCACCCGAACCGTCTCACCCGCCGTTGAGCCTCGCCAGCACCCTCATATCCACGGCTCCTCATCACCTGCCTTGGCATCTGATCTGCCGTCCGCTGTGACACTCATTCCCTTCGTCCCCCACGTCACCGCCGATCTCCCAATCCAATGGCGGCAGCACCCGTCGTTGTTGAGCCGGCCACGCTCGAAGACGCCCCCGCCATCGCCGAAATCTTCTTCAAGTCCTTCAAGAGTGACTTCTTTCAGACCTTGTTCCCCCAAAACGAATACGGCCGGGCCTACATGACCGACGCTTACAAGCAGTTCATGCTCTCCAAGGAGCACGGCTCCCAAGAAGGTCAAGTTGCCGTAGTCAGGAACGAGAAAGGTAGCGAAAACTCCTCGACATGATGACCTCCGCCGGCTGTCCGAATCCCCACCTTGCCTTACCCTTGCCGGACTTCGGACTCCGCTGAGTTAACGGCGCCATGTGTATGCGTACCTTGTTTGACTGACAGCTGTCTCGTTCAAGGCGAGCCTGTGGCCACCACCCTCATCTGGATCATCCGTCCCGAGGACAACGGAACCTGGTCGTGGCGAAAGCGATGGCCGCCCGCTAATGCAGGGCAAAAAGACGAGCTGCTTGATGAATTCTTCTCCGACATGGCGTCTCAGCACGACCGTGTCATGGGCAAGGACCCTCACGTCTGTATGTCAACTCTAGACTCCCTGCCCGGCCGGTTCGCTCACCACGAACAAGCGTCTCGCTGACAACCTTGCCGGCCGGCCGCCCGCAAATGCTGACCAAGTGCCAGACTTCGAGCTAATTTTCACCGACCCGGCCTACCTTCGACGAGGCTATGCGAAAGCCCTTCTTCAACGAGGAACGGAAATTGCAGACAAGTTGGGCTACCCAATGTATCTTGATGCCGAGGAGTACATTGTGGGCTTTTACTCGTCTGCAGGCTTCTTGACCAAGACCGAAGTTGGACAGTCGTCACAGATGATTCCCATGATGAGGCCAGCCAGGGGCTGAATGACATAAAGTGAAATGGCACTACTGCCGACTTTTGATTCATTCTTCTTTCTCACGTGTCATCACTTCTAGCGTGAAAGTCCGCCAACAGTGGAAAGTCATAATGATATGTGAATAGAATACATCAGACGGATGCCCAAGCGGCTTCTTCCGTTGGCAACTCGCTCGCTTCGCTTCAATGCTTTGCTTCCTTCATTCCTCATCGTCTCAAGTCTACGCTTTTCATGCCTTCCTTCTCGTTTCCATAGGGCGGCGATGCACCCCAGTACTGCTGCTGATACCGCGCATCGGCCCTGGGGTCGTATGCTTGTCCGTTGTCGAACTGAGAATACATGGACGGTCTCGTGGGACGTCTCGGCGGCATCTCTGGTTCACCCATCTGGGCATACATGTCCGGAATGTCAGGGTACGCTGATGGCGTCCTCGGCGGCCGTGGTGGTCGGTTGATGGCATCGATGAGTGTTTGCCTCCTGGTAATCCTCTTTGGCCTCTCCGGCAGTGCTGCATCTTCGGCGTTGGTACCAGACGATGTTTCGTCTGACCCTTCTCCGGCCTCCTTCTTTTCATTATCCTTTCCGGCGTCCTTGGTGGCGAAGAAAATGGTGAATACCATCTCCATGTCTTCCGGTCCCTTTCTCTCGCGCATGATCTGATGAGGCACCTCCAAATCGTCAATGAGCCGCTCAATCTCTTCGACAGAGTAGCTGCCCTTGTCCCTGTCACCGGAGTAGTCCCCGGGTCCACTTGCTCCGTTCGGGACGTGGAACCGAAGGTCAACCCTCATGACGGCGTAGAGTGCGACAACTATGAGCTCAAAGAAGAACCCCGTCGTGTAAAATACTGCTTTGCCGTAAATCACGCTCGGCGTGGCTCCTGGTAGTTCCTTGTTGAAGACGGCGAACAGACGAATGGACTGTCCAGTAATCAAAAGGAATGAGCCCAAGTAAAGCAGGGCCACCTTGACTCTCTGTGAGCCAGAACCGAACTTCTCTGGCTTGGGTCCTGGCACAGAGAGGCATCCGCTTACGACAAGGACTGGGAATATGGAGAGGAAAGTGTTCCATGAGCTTCCAAATTTGAGCAAATCGTCTGTGGTTTCCAGGCGATCTACATTGCCAACACTGAAAAACGCAATGATTGTCGATGTCATGTTAAGAATGATAAAAGCCGGAACCGAGAAGAGCAGGATTAAACTGAATTGACTAAACGCGGTGCACCACCCGGCTTTCGGATGGATCGAGCGGACCAGGCGTTGGGCGAAGAATATGTTAACGGCAAACATGAGAGCAGCACTGAGCATCATGTTAGCAAAACGTTCATTCCTTTTGAAGGTCGGCCCGCTTAGCTTACCCTCCGTTCTCAGTGATCAACGCGAGCAACACAACCCCTCGGGTCGACACAATCGACCATGTGATACGAAAAATGCAAGTAACTGTTCGGATCATACAGAAGTCGAAGACGATATCTGAAATCAGGAACTTGTGACCGCGCTTGGCATTCCTCCGGTAAATGCTCAAGTGCACGTACGCACCAAGCATGAACAACACCATAAACATGATAGTGACCGGCAAGTCAATATTCTTGTTTGGTATACCACCCGGGAACGCTCCATTGGCCGGATCAGGAGGTCCCATAGGAGGCCCGCCGGGAGGACCAGTCTGAGCCTGCGGGTTCGGGCTCAGATTGGGCATTCCACCCCTCTCTGGCCCCTGAACGCTCATTATGGGATTGAGAACTGGCGGCGGTGGCGGTGAACTTGGAGTGCTGAGGATTGTCGTTGCCAGAGGTGCTGCTGCTAGCGGCGGCGGTGGCGGCGGAGAAGGTGAAGTAGCAGCCAGCTGTGGCGTCGTCTTTGGAGTCGGTGTTGAAGGCAGTACCAACGGTGCTGGTGCAACTAATGGGGCGGGAATCACAAGTGGCACTGCATTGGGTGCTTGGCTCTTGGCCGCAGGAGGAGGTAGAGATGGGAGTCTCGGTGGTTCCGCTTGCTTTGGTGGCGACGGAGGTTGGACCTGGTTAGGCGCTGAAGGCGGTTGAACTTGCTTGGGTGGTGAAGGAGGTTGAGCCTGCTTTGGGGTTGATGGAGGTTGAATCTGCTTCGGCGGAGATAGCGGCTGTATCTGCTTTGGAGGAGGTGGTGGTCTAACAGGTGGTGGCGGAGGAGGAGGAGGAGGAGGAGGAGGGGGCGGTCGTATCGTTTGCGTAACAGTGATATATGACGGAGCAGCAGTCCTGACTTGAGTGTATACAATATAATTCGTCTCAACAATGACTTGTGGAGGTTGAAGCTGGCCAGCAACCGACGGTACACCCGCGTTCGCTGTGGAGGGATTTTGAGAAGCCAAAGTTGCTAGTGCTACGGCCGGCGCGGCAGGTCTCTGTGGATTTGAGATGGGTGTTGATGGCAACAGAGTTGCTGCTGGCTTTGGTACGGATGCTGCCACTTGTGCTAGTTGGAGTGCTGGTGATGTCGAAGCCTGTGCCGCCTTGACAACTCCCTCTGCGGCAACGAAGTTGAGAGATATGAGAGGAGCGGCGGCAGATAATAATCCAGCAAGACCGGCCATGACTGCTTTTAGAAGTGAGGCACGCTGCCTTTTTTTCGTCGTCGAGACCCTGCGGCCTGCCGGGTCAGGGGTACGGACGGAATATCGGCTTGTGGGTACAACCAGATTTGAGAGATGTTGCAAACAGAAGACAGACTAGACAGGAACAGTCCAATTCGGGTAGAGAGTCTCAGGTGAATCCCTATGTGTAAGAAGCCGTATAAGGACTCGAGTCAATGGTTGATGAGGACAGACTCCAAGGTTGCATTACGGCTCATGTAGTGACGAGCTGCATGTATGGAATAGGCAAGCGGGCCTCCTAGTCGTAGTAAGCTGACCAAGGCAGTGGAGAGTCTGCGTTATGACCGGCTGACGACGTGTTGCGGAATTCCGGACTTGAAGAGTGCCGCGATGGGCATGCCCAGACAGGGCATCAGAGCAGTAAGGCTGATGACGGCCAAAGGCGAAGCGTACGCAGATCGGTGTCGTCAATAGAAGAAAGTCCGGGCTTTCGATTCTCTGAGACGTGTTGGCTAGAACGGATATCTTTGTTGTATGATCGAATTCGATAGGTGCATTGCTTGTGATTTGTCCACGGGGTATTCGACTCTTCAGAAGCAGAAAACAAATTGCTAGGGTATCTCGGCCAAGTGTAGTGCTTCTTTGTTCAACGATGTGGCACTTTTTCTCGTTTGCTTTTTCGAAAAAGGAGACGAAGGGAATAGAAAGGATATTTGGTGCTAACGAGACCCTTATTAGACTGAATGTTGCCGCATCTCATCCCAACCACACTGTCTTCGCGCTCCATCTTTCTCATCCCTTTCTCCTCCTCTTCCCTTCTACAGACTCCTCTCCCGAGCACTCACAACTAGCTCGCTGCGACATCGAACGACTATTCAGCAGCGGGCCGGTATTAGAATAGTGGTGAGGTGTGTTTGTAGACTTTCCATCCACCTGCCTCAGAGGGCAAGTGGAAGGAGGCCATTCGTTTCAGACACCGTTGGGGAACAGCGAACCATTTCCCTTTTGGGACGAGAATGCGGTGCTTTCACCGCAAAAAGTTGCCCCCGACTAGGCAACTCAGCAGAGAAGATGATCTTTTCATCCCGTCTTTCATGAATGTCTTGCCTGTCGCTGCCTGTCTTTCCCTGTCGTCGCCTGTCTCTTGTACGGGTCCAGCCCACTTGGGCTGTCTGTTCGCACCCCAGGTCATATAAGTAATTGTGACCCATCCTGACGGATCTATCAGCCCAATAAGGCAACCGGCTGTCAAGAATGTCTTTCCTATTAATCATCCCGTCATCTTCCTACTCTTCGCCGTTGGAGGATGCGAGAAATGCGAGTCCGACCTGATGCTGCGGCTAATTTCCCTTCCCGAGCTTTCGGACTGACTGCAAGGAGTGAACTATTGCCTTGAACTCCCCCATGCACGCGTTCGTAGTAACTTCGATACTTTTAATTCATGACTTCCGGGAGCATCTCTCATGTCTCTTGAACGCTGTTTCTTCCTACTGGACGGGCTGATCTTCCAGCGAGCAGTTTCCATGCGTCAGGTCGAGGCGAGCTCGGCGCACACACTAAACAGAGCCAGAAACTTGAAGCACTGATCAGTGTGTGGATGTGAGAAGAGCTTATCCAGACAGGTATTTATCCTGTAGGTGTGCCGTGTCAAGATGTCTGAGCTTGTGAGAGAAGCTTTTCTGCTTGACAGCGTCTGCTACTGCCGCGATGGTTGACAGGCGCATCGGCCTCAATGATCTTCCCGCCCCCCGTAAAGGTTTATTGCGGGAGGACGGTCATCAAGATCCATGGAGGCTCCGTAGATGTCTGAAGTGCAGCTCGGCCACATAATCGGTGTCACAGCCGGCGAGTGGAAAAAGTAGACGCCATCGGTGTCGGTAACCCAGCAATTTTCCACCTGGGCGGGAATCGATGGCCCTGCCCGCTGACAACAGGATCGCCACATCATGCCTGCGTCGATCTACCTTGAGCCAGCATCAAGCTTAAATCGTGCCGGCTGCGGATCGCGGTGTGGCTTTTGCACCAACTGCCGGGAAGAAAAACGCTTGATTGTATCCGTACGGATACACATGTATGTACTAGGCGGAGGCTACTCAGCTATATGATCGACCATTAAGCCCCCCTGACCCTGACATACGTCGCACGGCAGCCCCGGTTAGTTTCGCACTGCGATACTCTAAAATGTTTCCAGGGCCACGGATAACGGGATTGGGATTCGGACTTGGTACGGATACAGAGCAGTGCACACTTTTACGTACTTAAACGCCGAACGTCTTGTTTTCATGTCCTCAGTGTGCCCACAGGCAAGGTCCCCAGCATTGAAGACTATGCAGATCGGACTCAACGACCTGAGTTGGAATTTGGAGCTTATATGCCTGTGCTGCCGGTGGGAAACTACCTGGAAAACTCAACAAAAAGAAGACCAAATGCGGCGCTGCTAGAATTCAAGGCATATCCCAGTCCCCCACCCACATCCCGGGTCTTTCGACGAAAGAGTCCCCGCGGCTATATCACGTCTTCAGCTGGTTCTTCCCGGGGAAAACAATACACGATGTCAGTGCTCGACGTCTGCCAGTTGCGTGGGCTGTCGGCCGATCGTAGGTCCGTTCCTCTGATCCGAATTCCGCCCACAGCAGCTACGGCTGGGGCGGCTCACTCTGTCCTCCACTCCGTGCGACTCGAGTTTCGAGAGCAGGCATCTGATACTCGAGTGAGCGGACTTTGCTAAATGAGACAGACGGATTATCCCCCTACGGATGAAGTTGAGAATCAGTAAAAGATTCCGACGGGCCAGCAGATCAGTATGTTGTACTAGGTTCTGCCATTTTTACGGCAATAATAAGTCATTCACTATGGCATGAGCCCTCAAGTCAGCACGATTCCTACGCCGGTGTCTAAGTTGACAAACCTCATTCTATTATCTCGTCCGCGCCATTTCTCCAGTCAGCCAGCAAAGAGCTAAGTGCGCGTAGAACATGGCCGCTTGATCCATGCAGAGAAATATCTACTTTCAAATGTACAGCAGGACTCTAGATTTTAGCATGTTGTCTCGGAAAGTTCCCGGCTTGACTGGTGAAGTCAGTGCACAGCCACCTGAATGTATTCTATGGCAAGGGCGCCGCGTTTTTGATGAGAACGGGGCTGGAATGCAATGGCGATCGTTGGAGCCAGATAACGAGGATAAGTACGCAAGCCCAATGCATCGCGCATCGCCTGCTGGGAGTTTTGTTGATTCGATCGGAAGATACTTTGGTAGTAATACACGCGTTCTCGCCAGTCACAGCATCAATTGCCTCTTTCGTTCATGATCGATTCGCTCAAGAGAGCCCATCTGCTATTATCCTCGTAGACCTCGTAGAGCTCGTAGAGGCAAAGAGAGAGAGAGAGAGAGAGGTTCTGGTAATCGATGGAAGTGCGTTGGGATGAGATTCCGGCGGTTTGGCAGAACACCGCCCTCAGAGGTGTTCCACCAGCTCGGATTCTCATCACAGACTCAGTTCGGCAATCACAGAGAGAGATACCGAGACCGAGGATCCTGTGCAGGCTGTCACGTCATGTCAGTTGAGGGAGGAAACCAGACACGCGGGTGAACGCGTCAGTTTGGTTCATCAGACGACTGCTCCAGCCTGCAAAGATTGCAGTGACTAGGAAAGTGCTCCTAGGAGCGAAGGGAGCGCTCTTGTACTTGTCGGGTCTTGTACGAGAATGCCGAGAAAAGACCATGACATGTGAGCCGTATTCGGGGTAGCATGGCACATGGGCAGTCCACAGAGCTTCTGTCTCCAAATCATCCGACGGTCTCCTTCGGGGCAATTATCTTCGTCGGATGGGTTAATTTTCCCGTTTTGGGAATAAATAGAGCTCTAACTCCAGGTCTAACCCTCAACACTCAAACCAAGCCCAATATCTTTGTGGTGCCATTTCGCCAGTCAAGTCTTAGGCGATCAAGTGCTATACAGATTGCACAGTTCCGTAAGATGACGGCGGCTGGTAGGCCCGGCAAGGGAGGAAAAAATGTGAGACGTGATTAGAATGGGATCTTGTAATTAATTATTTCCGGCCAAACCCTCCCAATGATCTTCATTCGAAGTTTTCTCAGCTGAGAGCAGGTGCTCTGAGCTGCCGAGATGGACTTTGTCTAAACCGGCAGGCTT